ATATATATATATATATATATATATATATATATATATATATATATATAACACACACACACAGTATGCAAGTTTGACACCCAGTGGTTGAACTAGGTATTGCATTCCTGGATCAAAGCACACACAACCGCAGGTTGCCAGATTGATGACCCCAACAGCAGTGTGCCTAACTTAAACTTAACTTAAATTTAACCTAAAGGCTGATCTAAAACATGTTGTAAATAAAAGCAACTGCACGAGATTAAAGGAATATTTTCATTTTAAAAGGAGTTTTTGTCCTAACCAACACCTGAAATTTATATTGTAGAAGCGGCTTCTATTTCTCACAGCTGAACAACAGGATGAATGATCAGCTCAGGTGCACCTCATGTGCTTTATTCAGTGTTAAATGTTAATAATGTGAGTGTGAATGCCGTTTTACATCACATTTATTGCCATACTACTGAAAGCAGCAGCAGATACTTCACCTCAGATCTGGAGAATAAAATAAACCGTCTGAAACTGAAGTTTAGAACTGAGTGAAAACCAACACATATCAGTGATTCTGCATGGATCAAAAACGTTAGCTTTTGTATACAGAAAAGAGCGCGTGTCTGCAGAGTTTTCTCCACCGTGTCTATCATACATCAGCTGTGATCGCCGCTGCCGCCTGCCATTTATCAGTGTCACTCGTCTGTGAAGAGCGCAGCACGCAACAGCCAATCACAACCGTTTTTGTTGAGGGTGTGACCAATCAAAGAGGTGTAAAAGAACCAGACAAGGATCAGAAAGCGAGCTGGATGTTTATATTTTTTTATATTATTTGCTAAATGCTCGTTTTGTTTGTTTGCTTTACTGATAGAGCACATTTAAAAACAACAGATGTTGACCAAAGTGCTTTACAAAACGACCAGCATACAAAATCTATACCTATACATAAAAATTAAGCAAAATATATAAAACAGATTAAAATTAATTAATTAAAATCAAAGGCAAGAGACAGAAGGTGATTTTTTAGATGAGACTTAAAAGCACCAAGTGAAGAACATGACCGGATCTGTAAAGGCAGACCATTCCACAGTCGGGGGGCTGCAGCAGAAAAAGCCCCGTCACCTCTTGATTTCAACCGTGTTTTGGGGACAACTAGCTGAAACGTGTTTTCAGACCTGATTGGCCTCAATGAAGTGTGCCAGTGAAGAAGCTCAGAGATGTGAATAGGTGCCAGACCATTCAAACTTTTAAGAACAAGTAGCAATAACTTATATTGAATCCTAAATTGGACTGGGAGCCAGTGAAGAGATGATAAAACTGGTGAGATACTAGAAAAAAAAATTTGTCCCAGTTAAAAGCCTAGCAGCTGGATTTTGACCCAGCTGCAGTCGTGCTATTGATGCCTGTGAAACTCCTGAATACAGAGAGTTACAGTAGTCCAGTCTGGACATAATAAAAACATTAATGATAGTTTCCAGCTCTTTAAAAGACAGAAAAGGCTTCAATTTGGCAATGTTCCTTAATTGATAGAAACCACTTTTGACGACTGAGTTTATTTGCTTGTCGAACTTCAACTCAGTGTCAAAAGTAACTCCAAGATTTTTTACGTGACTGTGGACCTTAGGCTTGATCGAACCTAATTAATTAATTGCAGATAATCAGACACTCGGAGGACCAAACACTAGTCCTTCAGTTTTTGATTTATTCAAGTGTAAGAAATTACCAGCCAGCCATTCCTTAATCTCGTTAAAACAGGTGAAAAAGCACTGTAAAACAGAACTTTCTCCCATTTTTATGGTCAAGTAAAGCTGAGTTTTATCAGCATAGAGAGTTGTTTAAAGGGCCACCCCCCTCTTTCGGTTAGTCTACTTCAGAATTTTTTGATAAATGATAAATGGGCGGAGCTCCACGAGCATCGGGCAGGAGTGGGCGTGGCCAGCAGGGGAGAACGTGAGCGAACAACTGTTGTTGTCAGTTAGCTCACAAAATGAGACACAAACCGTGAGGAGACGCATGAGTTTATAGTTTACAAAGTTAAAATGCAAAGAAATGAACAGTGATTTAATGCCCTGCTACATTTGTTATTCGTAATTTCATATACAGAGAACAACAACTTATATCATTATAAAGATAAGTGTGTTCATGTAAACACTATAAATGAGGATTCTCCCTCAATCCCCGTATCCAGCAGACTATTTTAACCATTAGCCCTGCTGGCAATCTGGAGGATTTAGGCAAACACAGCAGCACAGTGATGTGTCTGAATGTGAACGAACTCCTGATAAAAGACAGCATCCGCCATTCCAACACAATCTCACGGCAATTCGTAACTTTTTCATTTAGTGGCTAATTCGTATGAATTCATACGATCTAATTCGTACCATTTAGTACGATTTGCTTATCCCCCAATGATGATTGGGGTTAGGGGTGGGGTCAGGTGCCACACCTCCTTGTTAAAATCGTACAATTTCGTATTACTGAACTCGTACGAATTCGTACGAATTAGCCACTAAATTAGCCACTAATCATTTTAAACCCGGAAGCTGAAATTAGCTGACAAAAGCTCTAAATTATCCAGTTTTTTCCCACAATTAAAGCTGACAGGTGCTAACATTGTCTTAACTGATGCTCAACACACACAAATCTGTTAATATATAAAAAAAAAAGTTCTCCAGTGTGTCCTGAACCTTTAAAGGTGCAGTTTATATTTCTGACTGTTTGTATTAAATGACAGAATTGTATTACAAATAGTATATAAATATAAATATATTCATACATTTTAATACAAGAACTGCTGCTGTGAAGAAAATATAAAACTGTGTATGGAAACCACCGTCAATGCATCGTGATATCGAATTGAACCAAATCGATGGCATGATAATCGTAACCGAACCGTGAGACCCCTGATCACAGCTCTAATTAACGGCCATATTTTATTTTATTTTTTTTGCGCAAGAAGAGTCTCGAGTAAACGCAGCACGTTAACACCGATAACGGCCCACCACTAATCAAAACTACACTAAATCAACAAAAAAGATTGCATCAATAAATATAACAGATTCTGAATCAGCACTGCTCATTATTTTAACTGAAATGAGCAAAAGAGCAGATTTTTACTGCGTCGACAAATTAAATGACCACAAACGCATTTCCGTTGCAGCTCTTTTACCGTAAATGTCACTAATTTCTCTGGTTTTTGGCAACCTCGTTAGAAAGCTCATCAGGGTTTATTGGTGCTTTGCATTATCGAGGCTTTATTAAGCTTTAGCGCCTGATTACCACCATTTTTATTCCGCTCCTTCATTCGGTGCTTATCCTGGAATTAGCAATTAAAATAAGCTTTTCATTAAAGAGGCTGCAAATGAATCAATGACGCTTAAAGGTGAGAATGAGCTAATCGAGACGCCGCGCTAATTAATGAGACCCCCAGACCTGCGCAAACCCTCCACGGAGAAACGCACAGATCCAGGATTAAACCTGCGGCAGATCAAACCCTGACTGACTGACAGAGAGAGCAACACACGACAGAGGAACGGGAAACATACATGTTGTGTTAGGACAGGAAGGAGGCTCAGGGGTTAGTACTGTTGCCTCACAGCAAGAAGGTCGCTGATTCGAGTCTCGGCTGTGCCAGTTGGTGTTTCTGTGTGGAGTTTGCATGTTTTCCCTGTGTTGACGTGGGTTTCCTACGGGTGCTCCGGTTTCCCCCACAGTCCAAACACATGCGCTATAGGGGAATAGATTAACTAAATTAGCCGTAGTGTATGAGTGTGTGTGTGTGTGTGTGAATAAGAGTGTATGTGTGTTTCCCAGTACTGAGTTGCAGCTGAAAGGGCATCCGCAGTGTAAAACATATGCTGGATAAGTTGGCGGTTTATTCCGCTGTGGCAACTCCTAATAAATAAAGGAACTAAGCCAAAGGAAAATGAAAGAATGAATGTTATGTTTATTATTTGTGCAAAAATGTAGATACATCATAATCATTGTGATCCAGTTTTATTAATGTTAACTAAAACAGTTATTTTTATACTGTATAAATTTTTTTACTAAAAAACATAGTAAGAACTGTTTTTTTTATTAACACTAAAAATAACACTAATATAAGAGAAAAAGCCTGAAATAAAATAAATAAATAAATAAAAAATAACTCCTGTATAAAATACCAAGATTATATTTTTTTTATCAAAATTCATTTTTTAAAGCAGGCATTAAAAGTTACTTAAAAAAAGAAAAATATAAGATGAAAAAACAGAAAAACATCTATAAATGTAGTGTGTGTGGGTGTGTGTGTGTGTGTGTGTGTGTGTGTGTGTGTGTGTATATATATATATATATATATATATATATATATATATATATATAT